TCAGATTTTTTTCAGAAATTCCAGTAATTTCACTTTGCTTTTAGAAACAACACTGCACATTGCTCCGGTGTTTAACTGCAAATTAACTTTAATTTTATTCATATTAACATCAGCAGTTCTTTCTTATTCGAACTTATACGAGCTTTTCGTTCCTACATAAAATTCTAACTCTTCCTCAAAATCATGATTCAGTAATCTAATGTTTCTTTTTTGGACACTGATAGATCGATTTTTTTTACTTCACATCTTTTACACTGATTCGCAAAATGATTTGCCATTTTGAACCTAAGCCAGATTTTTCTATATCCGGTTCGATATTCACAAAATGTTCCTCATTTAAAAACTTGTTCTTCAATATTTATCTCCTTAGTGGTATTGTGTTTATATAGCTTATTATGTTTTAATTTAGCTTATTTTTAGCTTTTAACTTATTATATTTTTAGATTTTATCGTATTATGTTTACTTTTTTCTTATGCCCTATGTTTGCGACAGTATTTTCATCTTTTATTATTCTCATTTGATGCTTACTTATTTCTGCATATCTGCATATATAAGGTGCTTTTTCTAAAGCTAATGCAGTAATCCTACTCTTACTAGATTGTGTCTAAGGTTAAAAAAAATGTTTTATTTTTTCCTTAAACTGTCTGTTGTGCAAATTTACACGATCTATCTTTGTAACAGAATCATCTACAGTGGCTCCCAAACGTGTTCGTACACTTATGAATTTCATTGAAATAGGGCTCTATTCATTAATTAAAAGTAAACTTTCTGAATGAGATTTTAATAGTGATATCTATAATCTATTCGTAACAAAATTACATGAAATATTTTTTAAATATAGCGAAACTTTATTTTTAAGAAATTAATAATCAAAAAATGATAAACATTTTATCGCACAAAAGTTTTCGTACATTGAAATATTTTTGGATAAAATCTAAATTAGAATTATCGTTTGCCGCTTTTTTTAATTTTTGCATTGTGGTGGCATTAAAAAATCGTTTGCTTTAATTTTTTATTGTTTACTTCATAATATTCTATTTATTATTGAAAAATGGGTCGCAGTCGTAAAGAAATTTAAACGGCATTCGAAAAATGATAATTTCTCACCATAGTAGTGGTAAATCAATTCGAAATATCGCTAAATTAGTTAATTTATCACATTCTACCGTGCAGTATGTGATAAAACGCTTTAAAGAAGAAAATCGGATAGAAAACAAGGTAAGAAAAGGTCGACCGAGAAAGTTAACTAAACGTGATGAGAGATTTATTATTAGAAAATATGTGAAAAACCCACGTTTGAGTGCTGTAAAAGTTTCTGCAGAATTTAATGCAAAGTTTTCTACTTCAATTTCACCTTAAACTGTTCGACGAGTTCTCAGAGGAGCTGGATTACAAGGGCGTTCTGCCTGTAAAAAAATTTTTGTTAGTGAAAAAAACAGAAAGCTTAGGCTTTCATTCGAAAAATCAATGATAAATACACTCGAAACATACTGGAATAATGTTTTATTTGCTGACGAAAGCAAATTTAACATTTTTAGTTCCGATGGTCGAATAACTGTACGGAGAAGAAAAAATGAGGAATTTCATTCTAAGAACTTACAGTGTCTCACAAAAGTGATGAGACACTTGTGCTTTACAAAAGTAAACTGTAATAAAATAAATTAAAAAAACATGTAAAAATTTTTTGTGGGTGTGTTTCATACTTAAATTTAGTAACAATTATTACATAACATAAATTTTATCAAAATATTAAAATATTAATTTAATAAAAATGCAATTGTTTAAAACGGAGCAAAAAATGGCTCACATAAGTGATGAGACACCATAAGATACCACTACGTACTACAATAAAAATATTTTTGGGGTTTTTATTTTTACTCAAAAGCAATTGGCAATAATTTATAAAATCGTCTGCAGTATTTCTCTCCAGTTTGTTTTGGAATTTCTGCGTTTTTTATCTCTGTGCAGCCATGAATGCTAAACGAAAAGAAACTTTGCCTGAAATTCGAAAATTAGTTATTAATTTGCATATTGAATGTGGGAAATCTATTAGAGAAACTCCTGAAACAGTTAACTTGAGTCATTCAACAGTTTACAATATCATTAAACGATATAAAAAGAATCATATGATTCATATAAAAGAAGAATTGGCCGATCATCAAAAGCTATCCAATAGAATAAAGCGAATTATCATTCGAAATATTAAAAAAATCCAAGAATGAGTGCTCCTAAAGTTGCTGCCTGATTTACAAGCATTATATGGAGTAATTGTTAAACCTGAGACTATTAGAAGAGTAATTCGATCTGCTGGATATCACGGTACAGCAGCCAGAAAAAAATTCTTCCTAAGTGAAAAGAATAGAAAACTCAGACTGGCTTTCGAAAAATCCAACCTAAATAAGAATTCTGATTACTGGAATGAAGTTATATTTGCTGATGACAGTAAATTTAATATATTTGGTTCTGACGGTAGAATCTTGGTGTGGAGAAAACCCAAGGGAGAATTTCGAAAACAGAATTTGGTGCGAACATGGTGGAGGGGGAGTTATTGTATGGAGGAGAATGTCGTCCGCTGGAGTTGGTACTCTTGTTTTATTGACAGTATAATGGAACAGTACAAGTATATTGACATTTTAAATCAAAATTTGAAATCTTCAGCGCGAAAATTGAACCTTCATAACGATTTAAATTCTACCAGGACAATGACCCCACGCACACTGCTTTGAACGTTAGACTCTGGCTGCTGTATAACTGTCCTGAAATAATAAAAACACCACAACAATCTCCAGACTTAAATCCCATACAGAATATTTGGCAAGAATTGGAATCAAGAATTCGCAAACACACCATTTCTTCAAAGCAACAATTAAAATCGGTGCTTCAAGAAGAATGGGGTAAAATCACTCCAGAAATCACAAAAAAATTAGTCGAATCCATCCCAAGAAGATTAAATCATGTTTTAAAAGTAAAAGGAAATCCAACAAAATATTAAAACCTTTTAAAAAGTAACATTTTTGGATAAATATTTGATGGAAAAGTAAGTGTCCCATCACTTATGTGAGCCATTTTTTGCTCCGTTCTAAACAATTGTATTTTTATTAAATTAATATTTTAATATTTTGAGAAAATGTATGTTATGTAATAATTGTTACTAAATTTAAGTATGAAACACACCCACAAAAAATTTTACATGTTTTTTTAATTTATTTTTTTACAGTTTCCTTTTGTAAAGCACAAGTGTCCCATCACTTTTGTGAGACACTGTAGTTGGAACAATTAAGCATGGCGGTGGAGGTGTTCTTGTGTGTGTGTGGTGGGGGGGTATGACAGCATCAGGACTAGGTAATTTGGTATTTATTGATGGCATAATGAATCATTCTCTTTATTTAAATATTTTAAGAGACAATTTAAAATTATAAGCCCAAATTTTGGGTATTGGAAACAACTTTATTTTTAATCATGATAACGATCCTAAGTATACGGCTCTCAACGTTCGCCTGTAGTGTCTCTATAACTGTCCACAGGTTTTGAAAACACCACCTCAGTCGCCAGATTTAAACCCCATAGAACACATTTGGAAAGAGCTGGAGGTTAGAGTATGAAAACACGACATCAAAACGAAAAGCGAACTCAAAAGAGCCATGATGGAGAGAATGGATGAACATTGATACAGAAATTACAAAAAAAAAAAAAAAAAAAAACCTAGTAAAATCTATTCTCAGACGTTTAAAAGCTGTTTTGTATGCTAAAGGATATCTTACTAATATTAATTTAACGAAAAATGAAAATATTTACTAATATGTCAAGATTGTTTTGAAGTGTACGAAGAATTTTATGAGATAAATGTTTGTCATTTTTTGATTATTAATTTCTTAAAAATAAAGTTTCGCTATATTTTAAAAATATTTCATATCATTTTGTTACGAATAGATTACAGATCTTATTATTAAAATCTCATTCAGAAAGTTTACTTTTAATTAATGGGTAGAGCCCTATTTCAGTGAAAATCATAAGTGTACGAATACTTTTGGGAGCCACTGTATGTCTATCGATGCAGTCTGATTTCTAGTAAAGAGAAAATGCGTTTCGTGTGTAATATTTTTCTTAGATATAGAGTATTCTGTAAATTTTGGTTTAATTCCCTTCTGTATGAAAGGTATTAAATATTTTAAGGGCCGCGAATTCTTGTTATAAGAAGAAAAGTATTAACTCTTACCCGTTCTTCTTTATAAGCAACTCGCTGCTTCATAAATTTCAAACGATTGCAACCATCTCTTTTAATTCAAACCAAGATTTCTGCCAAATTTCAACGGCTGTGGTGGCTATAAACTTCTTATTTTTACATTAAAACACTCCTGACACTATATAAAATAAATACAGCTCAATTTTAACTATCTAAACTAATTTAGTATATACACAGAATTCTAAAGCATGATGCAAAACTGTAAGCAGGTTTACTTCTGTTTCCAAATATCGGTTGCTATTCACAAGTTACAAAATTCTAAGTATTGCACATGTGTAACGTGTATACGAGCCAGTTTCCCTCAGAAAGTCCTCCACGAAGGCATCCCTCCCTTTAGGCAGATAGCCCTAGTGTGCTTTGCCATAATTAAAATACACCACACATACACCACTAAGTATTGCAGGGAAATGGAATTTGTACAGTTTAAGCATCATTAATTTAATAGCTTCATTTAATACCAGGAGACCTTTTGCTTAGGAAAGGCTAAAAATTAATACTTGGATGTCTGATGAAAAAACGGAGAAGATTGTCAGCTATATTAAACTTTTGGAGTAAAATGCAATACAGTATACACTTCTATTCTATCTTAATCATTTGGAAATCTATGCAGCCATACTAGAGTTGTATGAGAATAAATAATCAGACTATTATTAAGATATTGGCTTAAAAAATTCAAAAATACACGGATATGATCAGTATGTCGAACACTGCTTGAGATATGTTTTAAAATTTTACTGAAAAGAAATTTATACTCACGTTGTCTCAGTGAGATTTTGTTCCACAGATCTTTTGGTCTGGCTCTACACAGCTGCGAAAACATCGTCCATCATCCGAGTCCACACCTTTGAAATATTAAAAAAAAAGTGAGAATTGTAGGATATGAAGCAAAATGCTTTAATTAGAGAGAAATCAAGGTACATAGTTTTGCTGAATATTCCAAGTGGTACATTCTCATTTGATGTCTTTTGTTACACACACAAAGGGGAGGGGAGTTTATTAAAGAATTTCCCTACTTTCTGATTATTCGCATCCTCACGAAAAGTCAACAACACATTGGTGGCTTTGTGAATTGCCGAAAGACGTTTATTTAAGTATCTATACGGCCCACGCAGGTAATGTTCTATTCATAAGTGATAATAATAAGAAGCACTTTGTAAAAAATCTTATATGAAGAACAAAGTCTGTATGGGTGACATTTATATTTTTACATGCATTACGTATTTGTTAGATGTCTTGCAAGATATGGCTGTGTTCAGCCGTTACTCATTCTGACAAATAATGTCCTAAAGACCAATAACTTTGAAGTTTAAGCAAATATCCTTTCAAAAGAAAACTGCAGGAACGGAGAAAAAATTAGACCATTTATTCCATGGAAAGCTCTAATGAGAAATATTTCCAGGAATCTTAGGAACCAGTCAAACATTTTTATAGCTGGTGGTGTGATGGTTAAGTACCTAAAAGTGTGTAAACCCGGTCTACTAATACACAAGTGAGAAAAGTGAAAGCGTGAGGAGTATCTATTGCATCGTATATCTCCAGAAAAATACGGCAGTGCTATCGGAAGCTGAAACAAGGAAGTGAATAATCAAAAAGTACCATAATTCTTTATGAGAGGTGGTTTATTCCTCTGAAAAGTGGTCACAAGACTTTGTTGACTTCCTACAATATTCATTTATTCGATTTAAGAAACCTTTCTGCTTGCTAGAAGCAAGACGCACCAACAAAGAATTCTAAATTAATCAAAGCAACATTAAATTAGCGTAAATTTTAAATAAAAGTTTCAGAGATATTAGGTATTTTGGAAGCAGGAGAGAGGAAAAATTAGCAACACCTTCGCCGGGAATCGAACCGCGGACCTCTCAGTTACGCGCTGAGCGTGCAGACCCCTACAACACGAAGGCTCCCTAAGAAGTCGGGAGAAATACCTTAATACTCCCCCTTTTAAAAGGCGACTGGGGTTTTTAGGGGACCAAATCGCCAAATTCTGGGTGAAGAGAATCATCATCCAACACCCTTTTTATTCGAACGCCACTGTAGAAACATTAGGTATTTTGGAAGCAGGAGAGATGAAAAACGAGCAACGCTTTCGCCGGGAATCGAACCGCGGACCTCTCAATTACGCGCTGAGCATGCAGACCACTACACCACGAAGGCTCGCTAAGAAGGCGGAAGAAATACCTTATAAAATTTATTGATTTCGAGGACAGTCAGATTTAGGTCTCTTTCCTTCGGAAGTAAAATAATTTCTGGGAGGAAAAAAAAAAGAAATAAACAGGTTTTCGATAGCTAATCATGGTTGGATGATCATTTAACCACAAACCTGACTGAATGAAATGCAGTTTCAAAATAATGAATTTAGTTATTTTATTTGGAAAGATGGATTTCCTTCGAAGTCTTTCATAAGAATTTATCTTATTTATTTTTTAATTACATTAACTTCAACCGATTTCTTGCCAAAGTTTTCCGTATTCTAAAATCATAAGCTTTCTCACATTTCATTACATTTTCCCTCAAAACCTAATGCTACGGTCGTTTTCCCGTTTCTCTCCCCATTGACTTCCTAACAAATATAGCTGCTGCTCCTTCCACCTTTTCAAAACAGTTTTGGTTCTGAGAAAGAGAAAAGGGAAGTCTGATCGGCACATGAAATCGACAGTTTCATTCAGAATCATGACAAATTAGGATTGCCTTTTGCTTGATTGTCTGTCTGGCAGCCTCCGTAATGTTTGAATTTTCAAGTTAAAGTTTTGCGCAAAAAAGGACATTAACTAGTAATACCTTCATAGAATAGTTACCTAGGACTCTAATAGTTATTTTTATTAGCTCGCAACACTGCAGTATACAAATAGTGAAAAGAATACAAATATGTGCTACAAAAATTCTTTTCCTGAAGCTACGACAATTCCGTTGTAGCTTCAGGAGCTGCAGAATTGTATCTCCTAAAAAGAAAATTTCTGGAGGGTTGTATGCATATTTGTTATTTCAATGAATGTTTTAAGTTAATAGCTAGTGCCATAGGCAGTACAAATCAAATATGATCAAAAAATGATCAAAAAGCGACTTGAAGTAAACTTCTTCCTTGGTTTACGTCTTTGTCGCTTGTAAGTGACGACTTGTGAATTCAAAAATCATGTAAGTGATGCTTTACTTGAATACATTTACATGAATCTATGTATTTTTATTGTTAATGAAGAGTTTTGTAAACTATTGAAAATTCTGAAAGCGTTAGGTATATTTCCATTAAAAATTCTATTTGAAAATGCTGGACAAATGATTTTAGACTCAAATATTTGACATTTTTCTCAAAAAACAGATTTCGGATTCTTTGATTATTTAATCTGATCTTCCAAGCATGTGAACTTGATGTACCATTTAAAATCTTTTAAAAGATTAAGATTTGAAAAAAACATTATTATTTGAGAAAATTGCTCCATTTCCATAAAAACAGCAAACTAATATTTCACGATTAATCGAAAAGCTGATATAGAAAAAAATTATATTTGCCATTTTATACATTTCAGGCTGTTTCGTTTTGACCTAATGTTTGAGAAAAATTTACGGTGACAATACTAATAATCGATACTAACCTACCAACGCGTATCGATATTGATAATATGAAGCAGTTAAGACTACTTAGTACAATGAGAAGGCCTTGAAGTTCCTTGCCCGATTATATAACCAGGAAACAGCGTCATATATAAAATCAAAGGTTCAAAGACATGTCTAGAAGTCACGGTAAAGTAACATCACGTTTCAAATCAAGTTCAAAGACACTTCAAGATGGGCCTTTTGCATCAGCCCCCTTTCAGCAGAGTTATCATTTATTAAAATAGGTCGGACGGCGCCGATTTCTCTGCAGAGACGACCTTGAAGGTCGTTCGGACAGATCTTCCGTCTCGACCGAGCAGAAAGAATCTTGTCTGTCCTATGTTGCTTTGAATTCAAATGGGCGTTAGACCGAATTAATCCTTGAAAATTGTCAGATTTAAAAGTTACTTTTAGCCTATTTCAAGAATATTTTTTAACACTGTAGAATTCATAAATCAACTTACTCTTTATATCTGCAGGGGTGAAAAAAATCTCGTAAAAAGTAGATGATTATTGACAATTAAAGTTTGCATTGGCTTTATTTTTTTGATGGATTATTTTACTGAAAGCGTAAGACATTTATTTTCTGATATAACAATGATGTTATGCAGAAATGAATTTTACAGCAACTCATACATTTTGGATAACTATAAAATTTTATTTTTGAACCTAAATTACTGGAAAGCAATCTAAAAAAAAGTATTTTAAATAGACAAATTAGTAATAACAATTGAATGTAAATACTGTTTACGCTATCACTGCAGAATCTATTGAGAAATAATTAAAAAAAGCATTCGATAATATATAGGTTCCTACTCAATTAATGAACTACGTACAGGCTTGATGAAGCTCTCTTTTAATGGATCGCTAAAATATTTTCCACATTATATGGAAAAGGAAAAAATTAAATTTTACATAAACTCATACAAGAGCAAAAAAATCAAATTTGCTTTCTTATACTTATTCTACGTAACCTGCTCTTAAAACCTATACCAAAGTATACAAGTGATCATTTCCATTGCACAAAATAGAGCAAAATACTGAACACACAGTTTTCGCAACAAACAGTGCTATGCTACGGTACAATAATCGTAACATCAAGTAATAATAATATATTCTAATGGGAGAGATGCCTTCATGGAGGATTTTCTAACGGAAACTAACTCACATTCATGTTAAAGCTAGCCATACAGTGAACCCGTTCGTCTGATATCAAAGCCGGCTCGAATATAATATATTCAGGGTTCCTTTGGCTACTTACCAGGATAGATATGGTAATAAACTATTTAGACGCATTTTTCTGGAGTAGCTCTTTCAAAGGTGATATCTCTCAAAGTACACCTTAGCTAAAATTCAGCTAGGGATTTCCACGTACAATAATTAGATTTTAGAGAAAATACTGTAGAATGCTGACTATTCGAAACTGCCGGCACATACTTGGTTTCGGATTTAGTTTCGTATAAGCAGACAAACTCTTCAAAATATATTCCTGGCCGCCATTGCGCAATCTTAAGAGCCACTCAAACAGCTTTCTTTCACTTCCATCTTTTTAAAATACATAATGTTTTCATAAAAATAGAAACTCTTTTTATTGTTTATAATTATTAATTTAAGAAAACGTGGATTTTTTCTTCTTTCTTAAAATAGACATCTTTCAAAGGGGCCAAACTGCAATTTTTTTTTTCCTATACAGAAAAGGAATTTAGCTTTCTTATGTCTCTACCAGTTTCACAACTGTTTCTAAGCACTTAACGACTTCAGCATTTCATCGATCTTTATCAGTATTAATGTAATAATACCTTTCATGTCCATTGATTTCTTGCATATCTTGAGCAGTCTTATGATTTCATTGACATTTAAAACCTAGGTTAAAAATGTCGATGTATTCATTAATTTCACTTAAATTACCTTTAAGATTATAATTACAGTTACCCTTTTTTTTGCATTCTCGATTCTCATTAACATATGTTCAGTTTAATAGTAACTTTCTTTTTTTTCTTGTTTGAATTTGATTCCAAGATTTCTCTAGAAGGCTTACCAGATTCCAAGAATTGTGCAGCCACATTTATTTACAACAGAATTATTTGCAAAGATATTCGGGGGAAGGAAGTAGAAATATCTTTGCAAATAATTCTTGCAATTTGAGTTTCCAAGTAATTGTAATTAGAATAATCGGTGTTACACTGTGCGACAGTAATCTTCAGATACAACAGCAAACTCAAAACATTGCTAACAAAGCCCTTCCAACGCATCA